AGTCACCTCCAGCCCCGTGCTGGAGATCCCACTGGGCTCTGCCCATCAGTTCTGTGTCAGGCAGATGCCTCCACAGAGTTATCCTGTGCCAGCCAGGATGGATTTGCCATCGCTCAGCTGCCGTGGAATGGAGCTGTACAAAGGCAGACCCCACGTTGTCATTGTTATTTTTAGACAGCAGTGGGGAACTAGTCCAGCAATCCCATGGCACGTGTCGATGGGACACCAGAGAGCAGTTCCTCCATCATATTTGCAGCTGGTTTTTAGCAGGTATCTCAGCACTCAGTGAGTGATACTTCTCTCTGCCAAGAGAAATGATGTGCAGACCCCAAGCCCTGGGAAAGTCTGTGGAATTAAATATTTACTAGCTTAATACGTGGATTTTTTCAGGTCTTCAGTTGCACAGTTATCAAATAAATCAGCCTTTTTTATTTTCTTGATGTAAATGTGAGTAGAAGTAATGCCTGGAAATTTCTAAGGGAACTTTCAAATGCTAAGACTGGTGTGAATAATAAAATGCGTTTCATTAGACAGGTTTTCCACACATAAACCTATTTCTTGAAAGCAAAAATCTAATATTCTCCCATGTTAGTCTGCATGTCACAGGAGAGTATGGCAAAGTCATAAAACAATTCAAGACATTTAAATGTGCCTTTTGATTTGCTAGTAAATCAGGGGTAAGGAAAAAGCTCAACTGAAAGAAAGAAATGTGATTTAAAAATTAATACCAATATTACAAAGCTGTAAAGATTTTATTACTTGGAGCATTCCCTCTGTGAAGATGAGTTGGTCTGTCCCCCTCCTCTCCTCTACAGCAGTTTAGCCTGCAGCTATTTATATGGCTCACGTAGAACTTGTAAAACAAAGCCCTGCTTTGCCAGCCTGCTGCATTGTGTGCAGATTTCCAGGGATTACAAGTACAGTAACAAAGACAGAAATTTAGCTTTCTAGAATTTAATGTCTGGGTACTGGTGAAATGAAGAAGATTGGGACGTGCTCTCAACATACTGGCTATTTTAACACCAAAAATGGCCAACTGGCTTTGCAGAGTGGGTGGTGTGTCAGGGAGGTTCTGACAGTTCTCTCCCAAACACCAGGCACTAAATCTCTGGGATTCAGCAGAAAGAGCCCAGGAAATGCATCCACGGGGTTGTTTCCACGCAGCTGATATTTGCTCTCTGGGCTGTGCTCCCAGCATTCCGTGTGGAAACCTGTCTCTGGTGCAGAAGGGGAAGTTTTGCCTCTCAGTGAGGTGCTGTGGGATCGTTTACAGCCAAAGCTTTCCTTAATATTGCCCGAGAGGGGCACCGGCTGGGGAGGGGAGAGGAGAGCTCCCAACTCCACCTCGATGGGTTTGGGGGTGGCTCCAACCCCACCCAGCTGAGACTGTGCTGCCTGACAGCCCCTGTGTGTGGGCACGGGGCAGGGGCAGTGCTGAGGGTTCTGTGGGCACGGGGCAGGGGCAATGCTGAGGGTTCTGTGGGCACGGGGGCAATGCTGAGGGTTCTGTGTGTGTGGGCACAGGGCAGGGGCAATGCTGAGGGTTCTGTGGGCACAGGGGCAATGCTGAGGGTTCTCATGGGAGATCTGGGCCCGGTGATGTTACAGGAAAACCCATTCCCAACAACGTGGTTCAGTGGCCCTGTCAGCTGCGTGGCCCAGGGTTGGATTATCCCACAGGGAAGCTCCTACATAACCATCCTGCCTGTTCAAGGGCTCTGGGTCACATTTCTGCCACTGTTGGCTGGATTGTTCCCATTTTCTTTAGGATTGGACTCTGGCTTTAATCACCTCATTGCATGTTAACTTCCTGTGACAGTTGGACTCGATTGTAGAGGTCTTTTCCAGCCTTTACAGTTCCATTAGCACTCAGCTGTTGGTCCCCTCCATGCTCCAGGGCAGAAGCTGAGGGTCCCTGGCTGATGGAGGAGCACTGACAGCTCCCCAGGTCCTCCCTCCCTGGCAGTTTTGGGGCAGGAGCAGTTAAAGGGCTGGGACAGGATGGCTCAGTCTCCCGAGGTTAAACAGCTCAGACAGGATGGCTCAGTCTCCCAGAGGAAGGCTCCAGGCTCCCACAGCTCCTCTGTGGGCTGAGGGAACAGCCAAAGATAGTGATCAGTGCAACGAAGCACTTTGGCTTCTGAGGTGGGATGCTTGGAAGGCAGTAGGGATGTTGTTCCCTCCAGCCCTTCCCCAGAGCTTTGGCACAGCTCAGACACCTGCAGAGGGTTTTTGTGCTCCCCGGGGCCGGCGCCGTGCGCGGCTCCGCTGGGCAGAGCAGACTTTGAACCTGCCAGCCAAGGAATGCAGCTGGGCTGCTTGGTTTTCCTTCTGGCAGAGCCCATGTGGTTCCGAAGAAGAGAATGGAATATTTTCTAAAACATCAGCACTGGTTTTTTCCCCTTAAAGTTGCTTCTCTCCCGGGAAGCCTCGCAGCTCTGCTGCCTCAGTTCCTCCTCCTGACTTTGGCCCTCATTCACTTAAAGCACTGAAGACATTTAAAGCATTTGAAGTGATTCCCAGCCTCGAGCAGTTAATGGAAATGAAGTCAAGGAGGCTGCTCCAAAGGTTCCTGAAGTGAGACCAATCTGAGCACCTCAGTGAGCTGGGGGCTAAAAAAGAGATCTAATTCCTAAACCCAACTCCCCATCTAACTCTGGACATGGAGTATCTCAGTGTCCCAGCACAAACTCAGAGGGAAGAACATACAGAAATTATCACGTAATTTGAAACACAAATAGAAATGAGGGAATTGTTTTTCTTGTGTATTGTTGTTCAGCAGCAAAGCAGTAGATGTGTTTTGTCACAGATCAATCTGAGTTTTTTCTTAAGCCTTGTGTCCTCTCCTTGTTTTTTTTATATTTTGAAACTGTCCCCCTGCTTTTTTTTTTGTCTGTTGGACTGAGCTCTATTGTAGGATTGATGTCTGCAGTTCATTCCTCAGTTCCAATCAGAAGATGTGTTGTTTAAAATAATGTCTATATTGTTACTCTGCTCTTTGCTGCAGTTACAACTTTGATGCCCTTGATGCCCTGCTCAGGACGTGCAGGACAGCACTGGCTGTGGGTGCAGCTGGACTGGGGCAGCAGTGCCCAGAGCTGGGCAGAGCAGCAATGACTCGCTGCCCTTGCTTGTGGCAACTGGACCTGGAAAGATCCCAATCCCTGAAGATCAGGTGGTCTTGTCAGGAATACATGGTTCCTGGTGGAAATTATTTCCATGAGATCAGATGGACATATATAATCAGCACAACCAAACCAGATAGGATTCTTATGGGAACAGCTGTGCAGCCAAGGAAGTCATTGTATCAGAGATGGCTTTCTCAATAAATATATTGCACAGAGTCATATTTCTTTTTGCAGCAAATTGGATCTTATCCAAAAAGATTTGCTCTATAGCAAAGCCAGACCAAGACAGCAAGGCTCACAGTTTGTTCTTGTGTCTCAGACTGTTGTGATGGGCTGAATTGTGCACAGCATAATAAAGTGCTTTATAACCGAGTTTTATTTTGGGTAAGCAGCAATGAAATCACCTTCCCTACGTGGTGTTTGGGGAAAGACAGGCAGTTTTTAAAGAGAACTGTCTTGCTCAAAAATGCAGAGAAGTGGCAGAAAACAGCTGTAGAGACATCAAGGTATATCAAGGCTGGGTTGGATAGGGTCTGGAGCAACCTGGGCTAGTGGAAGGTGTCCCTGCCCATGGGAGGGGGTGGGACTGGATGGGTTTTAAGGTCCTTCCAACCCGAACCAGTCTGTGATTGTGTGCCATTGATGAAAACTTCCTTAGGTGACATGACTTGGCTTCAGTTCTTGTTCTGGAATCCTCATCTTAGAATTCCCTCCGGGCTCCAGAGCCTAGGGAGTGTTTATTGTGTGCAATAAACCATCTCTGCAGGGCTGAATTTGTCTCTGATGTAAAACAACTGCTCAGCACAGTGTGGCCAGAGCTCAGTGCTGCTCCCCCCCTGTGGGTGTCAGAGTGTTCCTGAGACACTCATCACACCAATGCATATGACTGTACTGAAAACATTCCACTGCCACTCTTTGTGCCTGGACATTCCAGATGAGAGCACAAGTCATGGCAGCCCGGGGCCCACGGTTCCCATTCTGCATCTTGGACAAAAATACTATTCCTGTAAAAATATCCAGACACTGAACTGCATTTCCTGTGGATGTTTGAAGGCTGCCCCTCCCTGTCTTGTAGGTGTAGGCTGGGGCACGTACCTGCCCCCTCCTGCTCTGCCCACAGTGGGCAGGGCACTGCCAAGGGAACCCTGGGAAGCAGCTCCTGTGTTCAGGAACAGCCCCTTCCTTGGGAGGGACTGGGATTGAACTTCCATTATAACCAGCTCTAGTTCTTTCAAAATTAAATACTTGAGTTATAAACTTGCTTTAGGATGAGTTAGATTGTGTTGGTATGAAAAGCCAGGATTTTTACCACCTGGTGCTGTAGAATCTGGCTTTGGTTTAATTCCTGTTCTTTGGGCTGGTTATAGAGGCTCCAAGGAAGATGTGATCCCACAGCCATTGTATGAGGGGAAGCAATTCTGAGTAAAGGTGATAATTGATTTCTTTAGTGTAAAGTATTTCATTTTTAATCAACAAGCAGATAAGAAAGTGATCATCTCTTTTAGGTCTGCTTAATGTGTTTCTGAGCACTGTCCTGTCTTCTGGGAGCCCACAAGAAATTCCTCTCAATTATATGAACATCCAGATTAGATCTCTTGAAATCATCCTTGCACCTGTTACCTGGAATGGCTTTGGAGCAGCCGTTTCTGTCCTTTTCCAGTTCAGAAATATAGGAAGAATCCCTGATTCATTTAATCTCCAGGCACAGGTCTGAGATGGGATTGTGTATAAACTTGGTGAATGTTGGAGAAAGTCTCCTCCCATTCCTGAGGGAAAGCCTTTGGATCAGGGCATGTGTGCTGTTCCTCTGAGTGTTCTGCACACTTGGTTCATTTCCCCAGAACACTTTTTCCTGCTAATTGGTCAAACCCAGGATCACTCTGAGGGATCTTCACACGCAGCTCCCCTTTGCTGTGACATGACCCGCTGTGCAGTTTGTGCTTTTGGCTCAGATCTGGCACTTGTCTCCATGTTTTTTCTCCTTTGAATTAGAGACAGTTTGCAATAATTTATCCTGTTTAGGACAAAATAATTCTCAGATTGTTTTAGGAATATTCCTTCCTGGAATTTTGTTGTCCACTTCCCCCAGGAGTGCTGAAAACCTGTGGTTGTACCCTGTACTCATTCAGGGGGAGGGAGCTGAATGTGCCTCTGTGCTTTGTGCAGAATGAGGTTCCTGGTGGTGCTTAGGAAAGAACTAATAACTGCAGAAGTATCCTGAGTAGGGCTTGGCTTGGGTTTTGATAGGAGAGGGACAAGAGGAGATGTGGGGGATTAAGAACTGGGTCCCTGTCACGCTCTAAATATGTGGATGGTCATAAATATTATCTGAACTTACCATGTGGTGTTTCATGGCTATAAAGAGACCACAGAGCACTTTTCACCCTTGTTTCTCTCCCCCTTCAAAAACTGAGCCCCCTTTATTCACTTTGCTCGGAGACAGATGTGCAGCTGGAGGACCAGGCAGAGGTAACCCTGAATCCCCTGAATTCCTGCCTTTTTAGACAATTGCATGCATAGAGCCAAACCCTGGCACGAGTGAGCCAGGCAGCTGCAGCACATTCCAAATATCGCTCTATTTAAAGCATCCCCAAGGCTCCCAGAACAACTGCAGAGACAAACCTTAAACCTGCCATTAAACCAGCAGAGGGGGAATGGCAGAACCAGGTAAGGTGCACCGTGAAATGTGAATGTAACAATATATTAAAATGAATAAACCTGAGCAACGTAGTGCGAAAATACTCAGCTATTTGTATTCTTGTTGAAACACTATGTATTTTACTTTTCAGTAACAGTTACCAGTTTAAAATGTGACGATACTCAGCTACTTGTATTCTTGTTGAAACACTATGTATTTTATGTTAAGTTACCAGTTTAAAAGCTAATTCTATTAACAGCAGTGAGTTAAAAGTAGCTTGTCTTCCTCCTGTATTTCTAAATCCCACCAGTTTTTTCTTTAGTGTTTTGTAGCTGTAATTTCAGGTTAGTGAACACAATAGAACAGAACTGTGTAAAATGCGATCTGTTTGACAGCATTTTTGATGTCTGTGTGTAGCTGAGCTCTGAGTGCAGTTCTTGGTGAAGGTAGAATAATTTAGATTTTAACCCCACAAAGCTTGAGTGACAGAGCAAAATGAAATTTTAATAATGAGCTTTCCATTGTAAGCACACCTCACTGTCTCCAAGGAGAAAAGGCAGCTTATAAAAATGCATTTTGTATCCATTGTCATTTTTTATTTACTTCACTTAAACTCCCAGCTGTGTATCTGTGCTGTTTGCTGCGCACAGATCCTCAGGTAACACTTCTCCTTGTAAAAGGAACTTTTTAATCCATCTTCATAGCTATGTTAAAAATTTCTAAAGACTTATCTGCCAGGTTCTGCACCGTTTACTCTGGTGTCTGAGGAGGAGAGTGAATTTCTGCTGAGGTACAGCAGGCTGCTGAACGCTGTGTCTTTATTTCAGTTTTCATTGGTATCCACGGAAATTACACCGACACTGGTTTAACCTGGGTCTCACATGACAGACTCCCACAGTCAGCAGACACAGCAGCAAGAGCAGAGCTCTGACAGAACTACCCTGTGCACCCAGCAGGATCCAGCCTTGGGGCTGTAATTAGACCTTTAGAAAAATGACAAGTAAAGAGAAATGATTCCCAGAGAAGCAGCTTTACCTTGCACAGTGTCAAAGCATAACAGTCTTTAAATTAAACAGGTAAGGGAGTTTAAATTAAACTCCTCTGTGGCAAAAGGACTCCCAGTTTCAGAGCAGGATTTTATCTTTGCTGTTGTAGTTGTTTATCTGTTTAATATTTTCATGGCAGCACATGCAGATTTTCTCTCTGTGCTCTCTCCCTGTGGCAGACACACCGTGCAGTGTCGTGGAGAGAGGTTTGTTGTGCACAGCTTTAAAAGAGCAATGTGGCAATCCTTAAATTATTAAGCATCCCTCTAAGTCTGCCTGCTTGATCTAAACTGTGCAAGGTGCTGTGAATAGTTTTACATAATTTATTAATCCCTTCAAAAACCTGGAAATGTATTAACTGCAGAGAGTTCTGCTCTAAGAGCTTGTAATATATGGGTAAGTAATAGGATTCTGCTTTCTGGCAAGAGACTGCTATTTGCAGGAAACTGATAGAAGGGTCTTTAAAATTCTGATGTTGTACAGAAATATATTTATATAAAGCCAGTCCTGCTTTCCATGTGCTCCATGGAGTACCATCACCTGCACTGGGCTCCTTGTTCTAGGACTAGTGGGCAACTCACCCCGTGTTTGTGGCTGACCGAGCTGTAAGAGTTTCCACATTGGACACTCCTGTGGTATTTTCCTGCTGGAAAGGAGGAAACAGCCTTGCAGTGGTTAATCACCTCAACCTGAGCTCCCCGTGGGGCTGTGGGGACAGGACAGGAGAGGGATACAGTGGGCAGGGAGGCGAGCTGGGAATCTCTGGTGTGCAGCCACTGCCACCATCCTTTGGGGTGTGGGAATTCAGTGTCCC